TTCTGAGGAAGGGTCACCGGACCCGAAACTTTAACTCTCATTTTTCCTTCACAGATGTTGCCAGACCTGCTGAGCTTTTCCAACAACTTTGTCCGAGTCCCTGATTTACAGCATCCGCAGTTCTTTCAGTTTTTATGATGAATAGAATCACAGAATCCCTACAATGTGGAAACAGGCCCTTCGGCCCAACAAGTCCACACTGATCCTCAGAGAATCCCACCCAGACCTGAACACTATGGACAATTTAGAACGGCCAATCCACCTAGCCTGCACAACTTTGGACTGTGGGAGGAAACCAGAGCACCCAGAGGAAACCCACGCAGACACGGGGAGAATGTGCAAACTCCACACAGACAGTCACCCGCGGTTGGGTCCCTGGCGCTGAGAGGCAGCAGTGCTAACCACTGAGCCACTGTGCCGCCCACATAGTGGACGCTGTTTGGATAACGTGAACTTTCTGCTGTACAGATATAGCGATTGTCTATAGCGATTTCCCTACAACGTGGTTTTCGAAAGCGCGAGGTCACACAAGAATGTAACTATTGCATTATAAGAGAACTACCTGCACTGCATTGCTCACTAAGGGAACGGGAGAGAAAGATTTGGCCCGAATATCAGATAAATTATGGTGAAAGGCTAAGTTTCATAGAATCTGAAAGTCGGCCCAGCACAATAGGTTTATCTTGGACTCTTTTTCAGTGTTTGTATACTGCGGTTTCTGATGTGAAATTCTCTCTTCTAAAGCTACGTACCTGCCCGACTCTGGAGATGTGAGTGTTATTCCAGGTGTTATTGTCTACTAGGATGGTTCGATTGGCCATTGCTGTGATTTGATAACCGTAATCCCACCACGACATCACCTTGGCATCCTGAAAACAGACAGATTCCATGTAACACAAACCAGCAATGAAGGTAGATCAGCCACTCGATTCACTCAGCACCAGTTTACATGAAGCAGCACAGGTCATCTACACAACACCGTTGCAGAAACTCAAATGTATAAACAATGATGGAAAGGAAAATACCTGTTGGTCCATCCAGCCTGTTTCACCAAATTACAATACCTTATTGCTTAACATAGATTCCCCACCCCAATGAGAAAGGCAAGAGGAAATAAAATCCCAGGAAATTAAAAGACAAAATCCAGAATCTCTTTCCAGAATAAAAATAAGTTCCTTTTTGTTTTTGGTGATATGTGTTACACTAATAACCACTGTAATCATAGTGGGTCCGCAGATACATACCGTCAAACTGGCACAGGTTACTAAAGTTGTTGGAAGGACATGTTTCCAGGGACAATACACTCTCATCCATGTGGCGTTTATGAAGCATAGCAACTGATTCAGGCATGGAAATATAAAGGAATTAGCCCGTTGGGGAGACACATTCAGACTTTCAGAATCGGAGCATGAAGCATGATTATTATGATTACAGAGGAACAAAATTGATGCTGCCTAAAGCCACTATTTGCTTGGAGGGCATTAGGTACCAGTGTGTGGATCTGGAGTCATCTACTGTCCAGACCAGGTAGTATGATAGATTCCCTTCTTTGAAAGGTAGCAAGTTTTAAACGATGTTGCATCTTTCGTGGCATCAATGCATTAACTGGATAATTTATTGAACTCAGTCTGGTAATTCACCCATGGAAGAACTGCATCTGGGTTTACAATCCAATCACCGTGTTAGTAACGCATTATTTTGTTTTAGAGTTATAGTCATTTACAACACAACACAAGAGGTTGCCATTTGGCCCATTGTGTCTATGCTGGCTATAAAACAGCCACCGACCTCATTCTCTTTACCAGGTCTTGGTCCATATTTTCTAGGTTCCTGCATCCAAAGTACAAACCCAAATACCTGTTAAAAGTGAGGAGAGTTCCTGCCTCCGCTACTCTTTCAGGCAATGAGTTCTACGTCTCCATCAGTCTCTGGACAAAAGTAACACACAAATTCCCCTCTAATATTTCTACTAATTACTTAGATGTATATACATTTTGATGAGTATTTCAAATCACTGACAAGGGATACAGGATCAGTATTATCACAGGAAGAGTGCACTAATGTATATTCAAACTTGCCCTCTTAAGAGGGGTACTGGAATATGGACTGGTCAACACAAATATTCTGCATTAAATATTACTATTCAAAGATTTCAAGCATAGCAAATACAAGCTAAAGTACTAGTCAACAAACTTGTTAAAGAGACTGAATTGTTTCTCATTCCTGCAGAACATGTGGATATTTTAACAAAATCACTTCTGCTTAATTCTGCTTTGAGTAGACAGTCCCAAAGGCAGCAAGCACAAAATCAAAGGGTGGTCACTTTTCAGCAAGCCTCTGTCCAAGTACAGTTCTATTGCATTTGTTTGTTCTACAGGTCTCATCTCCCACACAATTAAAACACAAAAGATTTCAGATTTGCGTCACAAAAGCATGAATCATCAAAAACACCGAACAGACAAAACTCGAATGCTTTTCCTGCTTCACACAGGGAGGCATCAGAGATGTACTTGCTGGCTTCTGCCAAGGCCTGTCTGAATCCAGTTACAAGGTGTACACTTACCTCTGGGGTGTTGTGCCTGAGCCAGTAGTAAGCCTCTCTGAAATCATCGAAGATAATCCTGCTTCCATCTCCTCCACGAGCAGACAGAACAATGGAGGGGGATGAATATGCCTCGCTGGTCACCCAAGTGGAATGAAAGGTATACGTAATCAGGAAGAAGGTCATTACGAGCACCATTCCACTCGCTACCTAAATCGGAACAAATTACAGAAAACGTTATTGAATATTTCCATCGTCTCCCAGAAGCAACAACACAAACTTCTCCAGAGAAAAGCAAAAATAATGCAATTGCTGGAAATCTGGAATACAAACAGAAAGTGTTCCAAATACTAGAATCTGGCAGTACTTGCAGAGATAGAAACAGAATTAATGTTTCAAGTTGATGACCATTAATCAGGATGAAAAATGGATGCTTTATTTTGAAGGGAGGGGGTTTGGTGAAGGTGTGCAAAATAAATAACAAAAGGGAAGGTAATTGATTGGTATGTACTCCTATCCTCTACCCTAAAGGGTTCGGGGGGCAATACTAAACGGAGCAGTAAAGGAACAATTGATGAAAAATATATCTGGAGGAGGAGGTACGAATGGCAGGATCATATACAGACACCATCTGAAAACAAAATGAGAAAGAAAGAAACAAACAAACAAACAAGCAAGTGTGAAAGCCGAAACTTCTGAATCACTGCTGGACTGCGTGACTCACTTCCTTGTCCGGAGCAGTGAGAAACTATGAAAAACACCCAATAAAAACCGAAAGAACTGCGGATGCTATAAATCAGGAACAAAAACAAAGTTGCTGGAAAAGCTGAGCAGGTCTGGCAGCATCTGTGAAGGAGAAAACAGAGTTAACGTTTCGGGTCCAGTGACCCTTCCTCAGAACAGTTCTGAGGAAGGGTCACTGGACTCGAAACGTTAACTGATTTTTTTCCTTCACAGACGCTGCCAGACCTGCTGAGCTTTTCCAGCAACTTTGTTTTTGTTATGAAAAAATACCCAATAGATGTCAAAAGCCCAGCACTGATACACTTTCTGACTATTCTTCAGAGACAATTGTGTGTATTCATTACTGGCAGGCTACTTGATCACAGATGTTATCACATATATGCACGTCCCAGAAAATAAGGCAGGGTCCTGGTTGATCGTTCATTCTTTAACCTCGGAATGCTGTTGCTAATCTGACTGGATGCACTGTTCCACTGCCTGAGGCCTCAGATTGTAGCCAAGATGTTTTGGTCAGTATCCATTCCAAACACTCAACTTGCAATGGTGTGGAACAGATAACAGCAATTCTGTGCAGAAACAGTATATCAGGAGAAGCAAGGGTTCTTCTGATGCAGTGTTAGTACTCTGGGCCAGGAGACCTAGGTTCAAGTCCCACCTACTTCAGAGGTGTGAAATAACAACTCTGAACAGGTTGAATAGAAAATACAAAATAAAAATACCAGGGGGTGTACGAGAGAAAACTGTTTTAGCCACCTTGTCTGCAAAAGGCCACTTCATGAAAACTTTGAACCTATGTACCCTTGAAGAATTTCTCACAGTGAATCACAGGGGGTGTGTGGCACTTAATTAACAAAGCTGCACGAGTATTCTCTTAAAAAAAATACTGATGGCAATAAGTAGTGACAACTAAAATGAATACTCAGTCCCTCCTCTTATCATACAAGTGGGCACAACTTGGATGTGGAGAACAGCACCTACAGTAATGCAGCAGCCAGAACACTGTACTTGAGAACGGTTAAATGCTGCTCTGGGTTCAAACCACTTATAAATAGATACAAACATAGACAGGCTGGGTTTACAGTTACACTCCAATAGGATACTCCTACCTCTTCTAATTTTCTGATAGGTCAGATTTAATGTTCATTCCTCATCACCATGGAGGTGGTGGTGAGCCTCCTGTATAAATCTCTGCTGATATGGTCACACATATGTCCCCTCAATGCTCTGAAGTAGGGAATTCCAGTACAAATGAAGGACTGGCAACCTACTCCAAGTCAGGATGATGTGCTTCAGAAGTGACAGTGTTCCCACAACACTGCTGTCCTTGGTGTTCGTTGTCTTGGTGTCACAAGGGAACGAGACGCTGTTGGAAGTTACCATGTCTAGTTGCTGCAGTGCTCCCTACAGATTGTACATGCAGCAGCCACAGTGTACCAATGATGGTGGATAATTCCAGGCTAATTGCTCTGTACTGGATAGTGTTAACTTGAGTGTTGAAAAGAATGAAATAGGCAAATAATCTTCCACGCAAATTTTGTGTTTAGTATTCTGCTAGATTAAATGCTACCAACCAAATTCCACGTGGCACGTGTTATTGGATTCATGATGACACTGTGCAGGGTACTGGGTGTGAAATTAGAATAGCAGGTTCTTGCATTTAATTAGATCACTACCAATCGAACAAAACTATAACTATGATGTACTCAAACTAGCAGCCTAGCCTTTCATGTTCTGCTGCCTTATTCCCTCAGCTCCAATTCCACTTGGAGGGACAGTGTCCAGGCTGCAAGCTGCTGTCATGGATCATGCTTTCCCGGAGCTCTATTTATTAATCCATAGGCATCTGTGAATTTATTAATAATACAGTACCTCCCACAGTCTTCCTTTCCTACGGATGGTCTGGATGATCCTAGAATCTTGGAACCGATAGCACTGCAGTGCCACACTTTAACAGCCAAGCTTCAAAGGAGCAAGCTAACTGAGAAAGGGAATTATCACCACATTGAATATTCACTGTGATTAAGCAGGAGCTTCAAAACCTTTTTGGTCCTACAGCCCTCGGGTCAAGGAACAATTGGAAATACCCTCACTGTCATCCAGTCAAGTTCAGCTAATCTTCTCCGGAAACAAGTCTGGAACTTGGTACTATTCTGATCAATATAATGCAGAACAAATATCAACATGGACATCGTAGATTAATATTATCAGCTACTGCATCACTTAAACGGTAATTCCTCATTACCAGACCTAGACTGCGATGAACATAGATCATCACAGCTCATTCTGTCCTCATCCACGGTTTAATCTAGCCCAGTCCACAGCACCCAGCAGTGGAGCCTATCATCCTCCTGTTAAAGCCCACTTCCCAGTAGGTAGCATTGGATGCGGATCAGAAGTGAAACACTTGGCTGACTTTCTCTGTCCTACGAATGCCAGTCACAATGCCCCCATCCGATCTCAGCTGAGATCTGCTAACTCAGTATAGCCTATGAGTATACCTTGCTGACACGGCAATGCTTTCACCCATTTGGCCATCAGTGTAACTTTAATGACACAGTTAGTGTAGTAAATAGTTCATCCCAGAGGTTGATGAAACTGAGGGAGGGTCGATCATACCTCATTCTTAATTGGATAAGTGGAGTCCTGTTGCTTTTTTAATTTCTTATCAGGACGGCTGATATCCAAATTCTTTATGTAAGTTGACAGCACCTGAGAAACACCAATTCCTGAGAGTATGCACATTACTGGGGCGAGGACCAGCATAAGCCGAACCTGTGGAGACCAAAGAAACGTGGAAAGGTAAAATGAATAACAAAAGTAAAGTTGATTCTGGGTAATACATTCTCCCAGAACATTTGGTCTTGGGTCTGAATCCAGGGTTGTTATGATGAGGATGCAGTGTGGAATGTATACAATGCCTACATAGTGTGACAGTAGGGAACAGGTAGACTGTTGTTGAGGCACTGATGCAGCAACATGAGCAATGACAGGAAGAAACATTTGGCATGAAGACGGTTACTGTTTTTCAATGTCCTTTCACATTTTACAGAATAAACCAGAACATCCAGAATTCTTTTTTGACATTTCTATACTAGGAGAATGTGAAGTCAAGGCCCCATCCCTGTTGGCTTGATTTGGTGATGTTACTAGCACAAAATCTCAAAGAAGTTCCATTGGGTGGAGTGTACACTGCCTACAGTCGCAGCGCAAAGTGCCGCTGCATACCAAAATGTCACCTTATTTGCCGGTGATTCACTGCTCCTGCTATTTTCAAAAGGATCCCTATAGGATGCACGGAAACAGTCGATATGATTAGACGGATCGCAGTGAGAGAGAAGTGGCTTGTTGGGCCTGAACATGGAAGTAAATCAAGACTTTTATAGGAACGTCAAACAAAATCCTGGGGAAGCACTGACTTTATTTTCCAGAATGAGGGGAGGGCCAAAAGACATTGTTCTAAACTTTGCTGCACTGTGAAAGATTTCTTTAAATGTACTTGAGACCTGAATTCAGCTCTGCACAACAGCTGTATGGCTAAGCACCTTATAACTGCAAATAGTGCTGGAATTTGGAACAGAAATGCAGTTCAGAGAATAATCAGACATTGCAACTAAATATAAACACACACTACACTTTCTTTGGCTCATAAGGATATCAGGTATAGCAATTCAAGGCCTAGGGTCTGGTGAGGCAAGTTCAAAGGATTGGCTGCTTGCAGATGTACTGTTCTGCTATTCACTGCTACAGAGGGAAAGAAGGAAAACAGGAGTGAAGAATTGTACAGGATACTAGAAATACTCCTAACCTGGAAACCATAGCAAGAATTTTGTTTTGTCTTCTTCCTTTTCCCTTTAAGAAAATAAAAGACTTTGCATGAAACATCAGATTACAAGTTTGAGGTCACGGTGGTGCAGAATTTGACCCCACAAATTGTCCTGTTCAAAGAAGCTCATGCCAAAGTTTGTTTTAAAATGCAAAATTATAATGTGTTTACAATACACATAATACTGCAGGGATTTGCCGTCTCATTAGAGTTAAGAAAACAGAAACAACTGGGAAAACAAGGACCTCAGAGAATAATGCATGGCTGTGAAGGATTGCTGTGTTTAGGTAACACATTGACCAACATACTATAGCAGTAGTAAAAGTTCTTAAATCAAAACTGCTATGTATGAATCTTATGCAGCATACAGGGTGATAATATTAATACACAAGAACATAACAGCTAGGAGCAGGAGTAGGCCGTCCGGTCCTTCGACCCTGCTCCGCCATTCAATAAGATCATGGCTGATCTTTTCGTGGACTCAGATCCACTTACCCGCGTTCTCACCGTATCCCTTAATTCCTTTATTGTTCAAAAAAATATCAAACTTATCTTTAAAAACGTTTACTGAAGTAGCGTCAACTACTCCACTGGGCAAGGAATTCCACAGATTAACAACCCTCTGGGTGAAGAAGTTCCTTCTCAATTCAGTCCTAAATCTGCTCCCTCTAATCTAGAGGCTATGCCCTCTTGTCCTAGCTTCACCTGCCAGTGGAAACATCCTCTCTTATCTCTTCTATCTTATCTGTTCCCTTCATAATTTTATATGTTTCTATAAGATCCCCCCTCAATCTTCTGAATTCCAATGAATATAATCCCAATCTACTCAGTAATCTATTACTTCAGGCTGTTTCATAAGCAGCAAAACTAACTACCAGTAAAATTTTATACAGGTTCACAGCACTTCCAACATTACAGCCTTGCTGTTTATTTTTTGGTAAAAGAATTAATTAGAGGTTCAGATGTCTTTGTTCATAGTCAAACACTTCCACTGGCAATATCGGGTGTGGGTCAGGATGATTCTTACCATCACCGCTGAGAAGTACATACTGGTGACACCATACATGATGATAAAAATCCTGGCGTCTGACAGATTGTTGAAGCAATAGTACAAACCAACTGCAGGAGGAAAGCAGAAAAAGATATTGCAGTCAGATGGAAGTGTAGCCGTTTAATATTTGCAAACTGTTGTCAAATCCCAGTTTCACTACTTACACAGAAAAGCAAAAGAAAATGAAAATATGACTTAAATTCCACACTTCATGATCTCAGAATGACCAGAAATACATCACAACCATTAAAATAATCCAGATGCCCGGCCTAATAATCCATTGTACATGAGGCCAAATCTCATCGTGATAATTTGAGAATCTTAAAAAAGCTCCAGAAATTAAAAACAAAACAGGGACCTGTTACAGGAGCCCCTGGGATGCTTACTGTCTTAAAATCAATTGATTCTAAAATTGGCAAATCTTGCAGAAACTTTGCGTGATGTGATGCAGCCATCACTTGACATTTGACTCAAAACTACCTGTAGTGGTACAATGGATCACTCAGCTGTATTAAACCTCTACAAAGAAAATTAAGCAAGTGGTTGAGTAACTGAAATTTCCAAGATACTCCAGTGGAGAAAAACACAGCATTTTCCCCAATAAATGCCAATTCTTTGCGTTTCACAGACTAGAACATAGTAACAGTAATTGGGTTTTCTGTCACCGGAGCCTGTTCCATGAGGTTTATGGAATTATTGACAATTATTGACTTGGTTAGACAGAGACAGTGGGAATATATATGAACTGGCAGGATGTGGCTAGCAGTGACCTACAAGGATCAATGTCGACCCACTTTATTAATAATTTGGACAATTGAATAGAAAGGTCACATATACAATTTTGCCAATGGCACAAAGGTAGATGGCATTGTAAGCAGCACAGAAGGATAATGATAAGATAATGATAATGATAAAGTGAAGGGCAAAACTATGGTAAACTTGATTTCATGCGGACAAAGTTTGGAACTAAAATGAATAGAACAGGGTATTTTCTAAATGACACAGATCAAAACAATGGAGGGTTCTAATATGGGGCAAAGGTGGCAGATCAGCCTTGATTTCATTACAGCAACAAGAATAGACCAATTAGCCCCTCAAGTCTGTTCCACGATTCGATAAGCTCATGTGTGGCATATTCCATAGACAACTACATATAACATGCAATGATGTAGCATTTTTAACGTAAAAAAATTGAGGAAAACTGCAGAGTCAAGGTGTCACCACCATCACCACCTTGGAGTAATACTGATGCTCTTAGAAAGAATAACCATTCCACAAAAACCTTCTGTTTAAAAGAATTTTGGACAATTAGGTCTTTTAACAGACCATGGAAGATTTTGGACAGATGTTGTACGAATGCACGTCGCCTGCAGATGGAGTGGGCACACAGTCATCTTTCTCATGCCCTTGTAAACACAAGTACCTGGAAACATGAAGACAAGGAGTTGCAAGTCAAAGTAATATGATGACCAAGTGGTGGGCTGATGTTCAGAGACTGAAGCGATGATGGGAATGTTGTTCTTTGCGTAAGAAGGATCCAGTAATGAATAGAAGCGTCCAGTCCATGGGGAAATCTTGCCTGCAATAAAACCAACATACCTAATTATATCCAGAAAAAAAACCAAGGACATTAGCTGCTACAATCTGTGAATCCATTGTGAATACAATATAAAACAACTTTGATTCTTTATGTTAGAAGTCTGAATTAGTAAAGAACGTTATTAAAGCAAATGGTAATCAACCTTAAAAGGCAGCAACAAAGAAGAAACCTCACCATAGATACAGAAGTTAACAACTAGCACAGAAAAAGGCAAGTGCAGGAAAAAAAACTTCAATTTCAACCCATGAAATCAGCACAAGATTACACAGGTTCAAACAGAATGTAAACTATTACTGATGATTACTTCAGGTGGGGACTTCTGAAAGGCTAGTGGTAATAAGAGGCTTGCAATCACAAACAATTGTAGACCCTGATGGTAGAGGGTCCTTGGGCTCTTTATGGAGAGACATGCTAGGATAGCCATTTCCATCTAGCTTGCAAATAACAGCATTCTTTGCTTTTCACAGTGAAAGTGAACAGCATATAAATACAGGAAGAAATATTAGGAGAACTATTTAATCTATCAGAAACAGGGAGAACACACGTAGAGGAATTTCATCAAAGAAAAATGGGGATATTTACATAATCTTCAGGAAACCGTTAAATCAAAATCAGTGTTAGATGTAAACTGTAAGCATTGAAACCTTACATAACATGCAGCATATGATCATAATAGTGGTCTGCCAAATTAAAAGCACTGCCCTTCAGGGAATGAATTCTGCCGTCTGTACCTGGTGTGGTTTACATGCGACTCCAGAGTCAGAGCAATTGGTTGACTCCTAACTGACCTCAAAATGGCCTATCAAGCTATTCAGTTGTAGGTGGTTCACTACCACATGCTTCAGGCCAATAAATGCTGGTCTGGTCAGTGACACTCATATCCTAAGATCTGAATTTTTAAGTATTTGATTATTACTAATCTCTCTCATCTCTTTTCTCTGGTATCATACAGTGCATCTGTTGTTGCCAACTGTACAGCAGTTAGACCATTCTTCTGCTAATGACTTGGGAAGATGTGTGATGATGCTGTCTCTTTAAAAGGCTATTTTGTCCTTTTTTTTGGAAGAGATGTTGCAAGGCAGGGAAACTGAACTGACTTAAGTAAACAACTAGTGAGGCCTTTAAGATTTTTTTTTAAAATGTTGGAACAATGGAAGCAACCTGAATGGTTGTGGCCGGTTGTCACAGATCCAGATTTCTGTGTTTTGGTTTTTTTCCTGTCACATCAGAAGCTGTTTGGGGTCTCAGAAGAGTTAGGAGCTTCAGTAAATGTCTCTCGGCTGCTACACTCTCTGAATTTTCTATTGATGTTTTTTCCCTCCTGGATTGCAGAACTGCATGAAAGGATCTGTCCGAATTTGCCTTTTTGCCAAGGGGTGTGTTTATGGTATGTTACTATATTGGAACAATTAGTTAGTAATAGATGCTGTATCAATATTCGGTTATTTTTTCCAATAGTTAAGTTATTCTAAATTCCTTTCTTCCGTTGTATTTTAACTATAGTGTTTAAATAAACTGTATTTTGCTTAACGTCGAGTAGTTTGACCAGTCGCATCACATCTGGAACATGGCACTTCACATCTACCTTTAAAATAAGAAAATGTTAGGGTCTAGGCTACCTTCTTAAAATATTTTAAGGGTGGGGTGTGGGAGGTTCTGGTCTGGTCCATACCAGATGTATTTAGAGAATTTTTTTTTCCATTCATTCATAGGATGTAGGGATCACTGGCCAGGCCAGCATTTATTGCCCAGACGGCAGTTAAGCGTCAACCACATTGCTGTGGGTCTGAAGTCTCATGTAGGCCAGACCAAGTTATTTTGGCAGATTGCCTTCCCGCAAGGACATTAGTGACAATTTATGACAATTGACAGCGCTTTCTCAGTCATCGTTAGACTCTTAATTCCAGATTCTTTATTGAGTTGAATTTCCACCATCTGTCATGGTGGGATTCAAACTGTGTCCCCACAACATTAGCTGGGTGTGTAGATTAACAGTCCCATGATAAGACCACCAGGCCATCACCTCCCCTGACAGGGGCTGAGGCTGTAATGAGAGGAGATAAGGAGGAGGTAATTTAACAAAATGAGCAATAACATTGTACCTGTGAGCATCAGCACTGCTCCTGCAGACAGGACCACTAACCCCACCAGAGAGACGACACTCTTGAAAAGAATCTCAAACTGTTGCGGATTCAATTTGCTGCGTAGGTAGTCAACAAACGCATGGATTTGGCACAGACCAAAAACACCCAAGGCAGCCATATGCTCTGAAGACTGGACCGGCTGAGGGGAGAAAGAAAACCAGGGAATTAATTTTTTTTCACTATACTACCCAGACAGAAATGGCACATGGGGTATAAAGTACTGCATTATCAGGACTATTTTCTGACTGGTATAATGTCTGACTAGTACTGGCAATGACAAATTAAATCAGACGGTTCGAAGAAATTGTTAGTTCATATACCTGTAGTCAGTTTGTTTGAGTATTAAAAGTTAAATGATAAATAATAGTAAATGCAAACTTACTCGACCTGAAAATTGCTTTGTAAATTATTCAAGGATTCTGGTAAGGAGTCACCGTGTCCGCTACTTATTGAAGTGGACAGTCAGATGTGAAAAGGACTACATTTTTAACTTGCAACACGCATTATAGAACTAATGTTTCTAAACTGCACATATAGAAACAGCTTCGTTTGGTGGAACAATCTGAACAGAAAAGCCCCATTATTTAAATGTGAAATCAAGAGGCATATTTTTCACACAAAAAAGGGACAGGAAATATGGAATTTGCTATCTCAGGAAGGACATTGACAGATAGATCAAGGTAGGTAGACAGAACTATGGTACAGATCAGTTATTATCTAATTAAATGATGGACAGGATAAATCAACTGAATAGCCAATACCCGATTCTATCTGTAGCTTAACTTGAAATAACAGGTTTAAGGAAGAGAATTGTAAGATTTAGATAGTATGTCAACAGACTGGACATTATAACCTTGGTTCTCAATCTACTACACGGGCTTATAGAAAGGTCCTCCATTTGGATCTGGTACAGATTGATGAATGACCCTAGTTGTTGACATGTACAGGGACATGTGGAAATGCAGCATGACACAGCATCTTCAGAGGAGGAAAGGGCACCAGAGAAAAGAAACAGCTTTACAAACCTGGAATCCCACAAAGGAGATCTGCATTGAGAGTATGGTTCCAAGACTGTACACTGTGCAGTATGCAACATAGATCCGGTGGGAAAATCGTCCAGTCAGCATAAGGATGAGCACATGAAGTGGGATCAGATTGATCAGAAACACGTAACCACCCCATGATGAAACCTGAAAGAGACAAAACCCACCAAGATGAGAAACACAATAGAGATAAAACTCGATAGACATCAACTTAATAAAATACGCCAGAAAACATTAATATGAATCTATTTATTTAAATTAATCAATATATAAAACATGCTGTCGAAGAAGCTATTGCGAGTTGCTGGAGCGCATCTTACAGATAGTGTACAAAGAATGCATTTTAAAATGGAGAAAGTGATGCCATTCAACCTGCTACTTGATTCTTGATGGTATAAAACAGTGAGTGGTGTTCAAGCTGTTCTTATTTCTGATCTGTACTTTCTACATGGTAAAAAGGCTTGCGAGATTCAGCAGTTTAACTAATTGCTTTAGAATTCAAAGCCTTTGACTGCACTTTTAGATATTTTCTCATCAACTTGTTCAGGTATGTTACTGTACCTCTGGAGCATGTGGGATTTGAACCCTGGTCTCCTGGCGCAGAGGAAGAGACACTAGCTTTGCACCAGAAGAACTCTAAAAACCTGCTCTTTTATGCACAATACTAACATAGCAGGCCAAGCTAAGGTTGATCATGATTGACACAGACGTTGATGATTGGGGATTCAGCGATACTCATGCCATTGACTTGGGCTGTTGTGGAGCAGCGGTAATGCCTGTACCTTTTGGCCAAGGCGGCCTGGGTTCAGGGCCTAGCTGCTCCAGAGGTGTGTCTGAATCAGGTTAATAAAAAATATCTAGTAATGCCATTGAAAGTCAAGGGGAGGTGGTCAGACTCTTTCTTGTTGCAGATGATCACCGACTGCAAATGTGTGGCTTAAATATTATTAGCCACTAATAAACTCAAGCATGAGACCTATCCAGGTCTTGCTGCATATAGAGATAGACTACATTAGTATATGAGGAGTTGCCTATGAAACGGAACAGTGTAATCATCAGCAAACCTCCGATAAATGACAGAAAACTGCTGAAAAATGGTTTTCAAATTGCATTTGTCCTTCTTTTTGTGGATCAGACATATCCAGGAGATTTTTCAGATAGATGCTGATTGCACTGGGACAGCTTGGCCATGAGAGATATCAAAGGGGTAAGCTGGAAAAGTTGTTGCAGTGTACCTTGTACACACTGCAGTCACTGTTCACCAGTATTTAAAATGATGGATGGTATACTGATGAAGTGGGCTGCTTTGTACTGAAAGATGTTGAGCTCCTCGAGTATTATTGGAGCTACAATCATCCAGGGAGGTGGAGTGAAGAGAATTCCATTACACTCCTGACGTGTGCCTTTGTAAATGGTGGATAGGGTTTTGACAATCAGGAAGTGAGTTACTCATTGTAGAATTCCCAGCCCCTGACCTACTCTTACAGGTACAATATTCAGATGGCTGGTCCAAGTCAGTTTCTGGTAAATGGTAACACCAAGGATATTACTTTGAAGTCTCTTTCCATCCTCCTTATGGTTTAATTTCCCGTCTAACTTTGCATCGTCAGTAAACCTGGGAATATTTCACTTACTCCCCATACACAAAGACATTAACTTAGATTGTAAACAGCTGAGGTCCAACCATTAATCCTTGTTTCAAAGATAGCAGGAACTGCAGATGCTGGAGAATCTGAGATAACGAGGTGTAGAGCTGGATGAACACAGCAGGCCAAGCAGCATCAGAGGAGCAGGGAGGCTGACGTTTCGGGCCAAGACCCTTCTTAGGCCCGAAACATCAACCTTCCTGCTCCACAATTCTCGCGCAACCTGTGGTGTTCATCCAGCTCTACACCTTGTTATCTCATCATTAATCCTTGTAATATTCTGCCAGTTATAGAAAAGCAAAACCATTAAGGATCTGTTTATTACTATTTTCTATCCATTAACAAAATCTCAATCCATGCTAATATACTATTCTCCAGCACATCAGCAAATGTGCTTTTCAAAATCCAAACACACTATCCCCACTAGTTTGACTTAAATGATCCTGATTGTTACAACCTCAAAAACCCAAACTTTATCAAAGTTTCATGTGTTAGTTCATAAATCCTCTGTTGCCAGAGAATTGTAAAATGATTTGGCAACATTCCCTGTTTATAAATACCCAATAACAGAGTAATAATTTTCCACTACTGATCTCAGGTTAAAGGCCTATGGCTAATTTCCTTTCTCGAATAGTGGGGGTTATGTTTGCTACCTTCCAATCAGGAATTACAGGAATGGTTCTAAACTCTGGGGAAATTCTACAAGATCAAAACCAATGCATCTACCATTGCTGTATCTTATAACACCCAAGGATGCGAATCATCACATCAATGAGGCTTGTCTACCTTATGGCCTAATAATTTCTCTTGTACTGTTTATTTACTGATAATGACGTCCCTAGATTCCTCATTTCTACAAGGTCTTTAGTTCTCCATATTTCTAAAACTTTCTTTTCACAATGCAGAGAGATAAAGTTGTTGCCAGCAATAACTTGCTAATAAAATGATTGTCCATTTAGGATTTTCTGCAATATAGGTATTTATTTTCAGCCACTTTTCTATTCACCATTATAATTTCATCTGTGTTCTAAAAGATCCACATTTAATTTCACTAACTGCTTCCTTTTTACATACCTCTAGAATATTTTACAATCTGTTTTATCTTTCCCATTCAGGTTCACAAGTTTTATTTTGGTTTTTCCATTAATATTTATTCTATTTATAATTTCCATTGTTAACCAGATCTGGATTATTTCCTCCTGAACTTTCAGTTATTGTACAGAATGCACATATGCTGCAAAATATGAATGAATTCACCACTATCACAACTTTTGATCCAGTTTCCCCAAAATAGCTTGACCAACTCACCTACCATTCATTTGTAGTTTGCTTTATTCACATATATGACCAGTTTTGGACACTCAAGTTCAATATAAAATTTTATAATATGATGACCATTTTTCCCTTTACAACAAAGTTGACCCTTTCTCACTGCACAATATCGAAACTAAAATAAAATGCTTCCTTGAAATGATTTTAAAACAAAGTGCTCCATAAGCTCATCAGTATTACCACAATCTACTTCGCACATTCTGTGTGAAAGTTAAAGTTCCCTATGACTATAGTATCATCCTTGTTATATGCAGTTCTAAATTCCTAATTTATATACTGGAATGCGTACTTACCATGTAGAAGTAGGCCAGTGCACACATTGCAGACCAGTAGATGGAGCCAGTCTTTACAGACTTAATCCACAAGTAGTATGTCAGCAACATGCAGAATATAGCAATACCTGCAGTGATACAAAACAAGCATTATAAAAAGGCAGCAATGCTGTTAACATACAATGTAGAAGATCACTTCCATCTACCGTGTTGTCACGCAATGCTGCCATTCTCCTTCAGCAAAGCGACAATTTCAGGTCACATTCAGGATTTAGCTTGCAAAAGGCAAGGGATTCCAGAAATCTGGAAAAGAAACCTCCTGCTGTTATGAAAGCACTTCTACACCCATCTGACAGTATAAAATCTAGAATGACATTCCAGCCCAGCACCATAAAGGACTGTCCTTTGGATGAAGATGTTAAACTAAGGTTTTGGTTACCTGAAACAAAAACAGAAATTGCTGGGAAAACTGAGCAACTGAAGCTCTGAAGGGTCACTGGACTCAAAACTCTGCTTTGTCTCCACAGATGCTGCCAGGTCTGCTGAGTTTTCCGGCAATTTCTGTTTCTGACTTCCAGCATCCAAAGTTCTTTGTTTTTTTTTGGCTATGGTTACTGATTCTATTGATTCAGAACTCCCATACCACTTTGCAAAGAGCAGCGGCGAGTTCGCTAGATGCTCCAGCTAAATTTACTACCTCAAACAGCACCAAAAACAAAAATCGGAATGGTGATTCATCTTTTAGCTTTCTAAGACTGCTCGCAAATCACAGGGGAATGGGTGCAGTTATATGATAGCCACAGAACTGAAACTGGTTTCCGCTGACGCTACAGTTAGAGCGTGAATGCAGCCTGAACCTTGACGCAGTAATCCAATTTGTCACAGCAGCAAGACAAAGTCGGAGACCATGGTGAGAGGAGCTTGGAGTCAAGTTTGAGCTTTTAAATATGCAATGGGTTTAGTGTCCCTAATGAGTAAAAATCACCTTTCACAATGATTAAATGTATAATGCAAGAATCTTTGAACAGGGCTAATGCTTTCAAATACAATTACTTATCAATTTTTAAACAACAAAACAGAAAGTATGGAGTCTTTGATTATCAAAATATCTCAAGGTATCTAACAGGAATACTACAATTTGATTGGAAGTATTAGTTACAGCAGATTTCCAGATTGGTTAAGTTGCAAGAAGACATACAAGAGGCCAGAACTGGCACAGCAGTGAGGTCTTAAAGGTCTGTAAGTACGCTACAGAGGTGGGGAACTGCAAAGGCCACAAGAGATTTGAAAACAAGGATGAGAATTTTGAAAATAAGATACTACCTGTCAGGGAGCCAAAACGGGCTCATGAGCAGAGAGGTGATAAGTAAATGGGACACAGTGATATGGATACAGCCATTATTTTGGATGAGTTCAGGTTTATAAAAGGTTGGATAATGGGAGGCCTGGCTGGTGAAAATTGGAATAGTCAATTATAGAGGTAACAAAGATATGGATGAGTGCTTCCACAGCAGATGAGCAGAGGGACAAAGTTGGGCTATATCATGGAGATGAAAGCAGCGGTCTTGGTGATCACTTAAATTGCAATCATTAAGGAATAAGATCCAGTGTCAGAACTGAAATTAAGGACTACCATGATTACACATGTTAGTATTAGGAACTTAAGAACACCATTCTGCACTTAAGAAATCGTTGATGCAATGGAAAATTATTGAAACCAAGTATTCCAATACAAAGGATGCTTGGACTGGATACTCACCTTCATTATCATAGGAACCAGCTACAGACCGAGAGATATAACCAGGGACCACAGCAATCATGGCAGCAGCTAACAAGCCAGCACCAGCATCCTGAAACACAAACAACATATTCATATCCTAGCGTTGACACAGAATTACTATAAAAATAAAAAGATGCCAAATGTTCAAAACCTGAAACAAAAAGAATATTTTAAATACAAACCATGAAATGCTTTAGGGGCAGTAATGGGGTTTCAGCTTGTTCATAAGATGGATTTTATTTCCAGTTATACAAATGAAGGTACACAGAACATCATTCATGGAGTAATGGTGAAGATTTCATCACCAAGCCAGCTGAAATACTGCTCACTATGTTATACGGCTCATTTATGGCCTACGTGATAGTAGCTTCCCATTTCAGTTACAGCTCTGATACAAAAGATTGTGTCATTGCTGGAGATTTAAGTAACTTCTTGAGTTGGGGCTTTAAACACTTGTCTACAGATACCAACAGCACCAAAGCCAAATGCAAGTGATCATTCCAGCAGTTCTGCTGACCACTAACAACACAACCTACCATCTAGAAAAACCAAAATGTTATGTAATGTGAATAAGTCAGCGTGATGATAAAACAGAGAAAAACAACTAGCAAATGGGTTATTTGTTAAGACTGACAAAGAATCATAAACTATCAACATCAACTTTGTTTCTCTCCTCACAGGTGCTGCTTAACCCGAGTATTTCTAGAATTTTGTCTTTATTTCAGGTTTTTTGCACTAGCATGAGATCTTACACCTGAAAAATCTCTCCCCTAAAAGAACGGTTGCTGTGAACTTCACTCCTTTACTGACGCAGCTGTCAATATTACTGACATTAGTTACAAAAACTGATCTGAGGCAGTCTGAACAACTCCCTAGGTTCACATACCCTGGTTTACAGGGATCACAGTTCACTTCCTACCTTCAGTTCCTTTGTTAAGTGATAAGTGACGATGGTGGTAAACGATGAGAAGAGAGGAGCCAGAAACACGCATACATTCCTGATGTCAACAGCGACATGGAAGAAATGCAGCACATGGTAGAGAGCAGCAGAAGTTATCATGAGACCTGGAAGTAGATAAAATAATGTTGTGGGTTATTCGAAGAAAACCTCAAGAATACATCTGCACTAACATCAAAGAATCTCATGCCAAATCACATGCTTGGGTACTTTTGCATATCCTTTTGAAATTAATGACAGCTCAAGACACAGTCCTGTAAAAATTCCCAGTGAGCAAGTGCAATACAAAGGCAACAAAATACTTGAGACATGGCTTCTTTCCTAGCTGATTGTAGAGTACCCTGTATAAATAAATAAACATTGGCTATGTTAATATAGCAATAAGATTGAGAAACCATTGCATCAAAATAACCAATTTCTTGGACTCTCATAAAAAAAGCTTCTACTTGAAAATTAGCCCCGACCTACATCTCCAAATGTAAATGATCCTAACCCTAACTAAAGTGTCAAGTTCAGGCCCTGTATTATTATGTTCAATCACTTGAGTCTTCATAAAAAAACCCTAATATTACAGTAATACAGCTACCTAGAACATTGTGTTTGTGTTACCAAAATAAATTTTAAAAAAAAACTTATTTCACAAATTTTCTTCTGTTCCCTTCTACTGCTGCTCTCCTCTCATTTCCCAGTCTCTTACATTCCGTCACTCACTGAGGTCGCCATGAGGCCCCACCTTCTACACCTCGTCCCTCACCGGAGGTGAGGTGACCCCCAGGTTAAATCACCACCAGTTGTCTCTTTCTAATGAAAGTACAGTCCTATCGTCCTCTGGGACTATGACAACATGACTTAAGTTCTAACCTCAAACGAAAAACAAACAAATTAATTGCATTTTCTTTTTCCTTCAGATTCCAACTGTGCACTGAAAGCAAGATTTATAATTAAATTTTAGGAACAGATTTCAAAGACTTTCACTGCTAATTTTGAATTTAAAGATTGACAGATTGCTTCAGAATTTTTAGGCAACTTGTGAATCAGTTTTAAAACTCCAGGGTGAGTGATGCCTCTAGGTAAGCCTCTATCCTTACATGGTAACACAGCCACAGCACTCCAACAGGATTCATAGATGTATCAAACAAAACTAAACATCTACACTGGTATATTAGATAACAAGTCAGCAATATGGCTGCTACTAAAACTATACTGACCTGGGTAGATTGTTCCTCCAATAATCCTGCCTAGTGGATACCAGGCTCGATCATCAAACCAGTTATGGAATTTGTAGAAACCTTCTTCAGTGAGGAAGCGAGTGGTCCGGTAATTGAAGTACCTAAAGATGTTTCAGGTACCAGTTGGAACAGAACAAGGCAAGCTCTTTCAATAAATACTACTTTTCAGTATTTACACATTGAAAAAAGGAAAAACTACACGTCAAAACTGTAGCGACTACAGAAAGTGGCTCAATGCTATTCTCTCAAAGGTACATGGGGACAGAAAATTAAAAGCTGACGATGCTGACCAAAAGAAAACAAGTTTAAGAAAAATCAAATAAAACAGTACTCAAGCAAAGACACAAGGAAGATGGGCCTAAAGTTTAGTTAGAGAGGCACAATTTAAAGTAAAAGCAATTACAATCCATTTTTAATATCTCTGCCTGGTTTATTCTCATACTTTTCTTTTCCTTTGTTTATCACATTATGCTTGCTGGTTGCAAACCTAAAGTGCCTCAAAAGAGCATAAAAGTGCTGAAGTTTGATATATTGTGCAATAATGAAATAAAAATTATTTGTATTGGTACTTACGGATCAAACTCATGGATGACACTCTCAAATCTCAATACAGAGAACAATCTGGTAGAAAATGCTGTGGAACAAAGCGCAAAATTAATATAACAACTGAATCCTGTTTATTACTCTATTTTAATAATCTTAACATTAGTCTTAACATTTGTGTTCAAATTTTTTTCACGGGTCAAAAATTGAAGTTAACCACTTTGATGAAACATCTTCATCTTGGCTTTCAATAACTAATTTAAATTGCTATAAAATTCCTCCTGTTCTTCAGAACCGTGGTGATGGTGGAGTGGACCTGAAAGTTTAAGTCATAATCTCATTGAATTGTGGCTCTGATCTCATCTTTTAACATTTTTGGATTATGTTCAGTTTTATGGTTGGGGATTTCAAGCAGGAGCTTAGAAGGTGCTACAATGTGAAATCTGTGGGATGGAGGGCAAACCCAGAGGCAATCCACTACTTTTAGGTTTTCAGTGGGTGACAGCCTTGCTAAGGGCCAGATAGAGAGTGGGAAGGAAGATGATGAAAATTAAAAAGGAAAAGGAATGAACAAATGATGCACTGGTTTCATTCTCAAATTGAGAATATGAACCAACACCATCACCTTTGATACAGATGAGAGAATTCAAGTTTCCACTCCCAAAACATTGCTCTACAGAGAATATCTTTAAATGCTCGGATACAGAGGCTCCTTCCCACAGTGGAACAATGTGTGGGGGAACAATGTGTGGGGGAACACTAAGTGAGGGAATCCTGGTCACTCTCAGAAACACAGTTATTTTAGTGTTAGTCAAACCCAGAGTAGACTGACTCATCCAATAGTCAATGTGGGGACAACTGTATCAACAGAACATACAACAAACCATATAGTTCACAGCCGAATGGAAACATCAGCTACTTTTTAAAAGATATTAAAAACCCGCTCCCAAAGAGAAATTAGCACTCCTGCTCTTTAGGTGTCATACACCTGACACTTTAGTTGACAATTCTGACTTCACACGCACTTGCGCTAGAGGATGCCGGCAGAACCAGGTTAGAAATAGAGTTAACTCAGGTAATATATCTTCACTTGCCGCTCCCATCAGCCTCAGAGTTCAATTTAAATAGGAGGCAGCCATTTGGTCCTTCAAGTGTGCTCCAATATTCGATACAATCAAGGCTGATCTTCCATTTCACCCTAACCTTCTCATACCATCCCCATATTCCTTAATTCCTTTAAGTACCCAAAATTTTGTTAATAACTGATAATATTTTATCTTAAGCTTGAGGGCGATGCAGTTCAATCTGAAACTAGGGTCCTCCATCTAAACAAAGGAAGTAACCAAGGTATGAAGTGTGGATTGATTACAGTAGATTGCCAATCTATCACCATATTGTTTAACAATGTCCAGCATTTAAAGAAATAACAGCATGGTTTACAACAAACACCCACTCCTTTGAGGCAGAAAAACCCACCAAAAAAACGTATCCAACAGTTGCAAAGATAACTTGAAGATTGGATTACAGAAAATAAGCTTATAAAGTTGCCAAAAAAAAAGTAAACCTGAGGAATGAGAACATTTTACAATTCAGCAAAGAAGGCTCATTCTCTTTAGCAAGAAATTGACAATAAGAAAATAGAATATGAAAGCAAACTAGCAAGAAGCATAAAATAGACCATAAAATTTTTTTATAAAAGACAAATGTGGGCCAAATACAGGCAGAGGGGAAATTTTATGATGGAGAGTAAGGCAATGGCAGAGAGGACATAATTTTAAGGTGAGAGGAGAAAAATTTAAAAGGGACCTGAGGGGCAACGTTTTCCACACAGAGGGTGGTTTGTATGTGGAATGAATTGTCAGAGGAAGTGGTAAATGCGGGTTCAGTCACATTTAAAAGACATTTGGACAGATACATGAATAGGAAAAGTTTAGAGGAATATGGGCCAAATGCAGGCAAATGGGACTGGATTAATTGGGGAAACTTGGTCGGCACAGAGGAATTGGACCAAAAGGTCTGTTTCCGTGCTATACGACTATGACGCATCAACAATTTCTAGAGCTATTTCCTTAAGTATTCTAGGATGTATATCATCAGGGCCTAGGATTTATCAGCCTTCAATCCCATCAATTTCTCCAACATCATTTCCCTGATAATACTGATTTCCTCCACTAATTCCCTCTTACTAAACCCTACGCTCTTCAACGTTTCTGGCATGTTATTTGTGTTCCCTTTTGTGAACCCAAAGGAAAGTAGGTATTTAGTTGGTCAGTCATTTCTTTGCTCACCAATGTAAATTCTCTGTATCTGACAGCAGGAGACCTACATTTGTCTTCAACAATCTTTTTCTCTTCACATACCTGTAGAAACTTAATGGTTAGTTTTTATGGTCCCTACAAGCTTACTCTCGTACGCTATTTTCGGTTTCTTAATCAATCACTGTGTCCTCCTTTGCTGAATTCCAAACTGCTCCCACTTCTCAGTCCATTATTCTTTTTGGCCAATTTGTAGGTCTTTTCCTTGAATCTGATACTCTCTGATTTCCTTTATAAGCCACGGTTTGGCCACCTTCTCCATTTTCCTTTTGTGCCAGACAGAAATGAACAAATGGATTTAACGTTTTGTGTCGAGTGTTTTTGTTTCTGATTTACAGCATCCGCAGTTCTTTCAGTTTTTATTAGAAATGAACGATTTTTGCAGTTTGACCATGTGTCCTTTCCACTATCATTCCTTTATGTAACAATCCCCAACTTATCACAACCACCTCACACTTCATAGCATCATGGTTTCCTCTATTTAGATTCAGGATCCAGGACACATGATCAACTATGTCACTATCTTGGTGAGGAATTTGATCATATTATCGTCAGGCATCCCACAGAGCCTCTCGCAATGGTTATTCCTTTCTCATTACACAATGCCCTAATTAGTTCAACATATTGGCCTCGAAAACCATTCCATATACACTCCAGAAATTCCTCTTTTACAGTATTGTTATTAATTGGATTTGCCCAATCTATATGCAGGTTCAAGTCACCCATAATTACAGACATTGCTTTGTTGCGTGTATCTCTGATTTCCTATTTAATGTCATTCCCAATACCATTATTAGAGTTTGGAGATCAATATACAACCCCCACTGTTTTCTTGCCCCTTGTTGTTTCTCAGCTCTATCTATAGAGATTCCACACTGTTGAATTTAAGTCATTTTTTTTTAGATGACAAACTAGTTGAGATCGAAGCACTGACCTTTGCAACACCTAGCTAGACACAACTTGCCAAGCTAAAAATTACCTGCTGATACCTATGGTGCCTCAAAGTGCTATAATTTGCTCATGTAGTGTAACTCTGTTTGACCGAGGGTCATAATCAAAGAAAACAATTTAAAGCCACAGAGGAAGGATGCAAATCAGAAAACTAGTGGTCACAAGTTTGGCTTTTAAAAGAAGGAAAGAGAGAGAAACGTTCTACATCATTTCTAGTTCTGAGGAGTGAATGAGACAGTAAGAGATAGTGCGATAGAGATCAATGCTGAAATGCAGGAGTATGAGCTGTCTAAGAGTTGAACTTTTATCCTTATGAATAATAAGCAAAGCCCTGTTAGAAACTCACACAGCACAGCTGCCATAGACAGAATGAGTAGCTTCAGCAGGGTGTCCTGTTTCTCATACGACAACCGCAAAAATCCCAGCTTAGTCATCTTCGGTCTGGTGTTTGCAGCTGACACACTATTAACCTAAGAAACAGAAAATAACAATTGTAATACTTATAATAGCACCAGATTTATTCAATGACAGCAAAAAATACATCGCGATCATAATTACAGTGGGCAAGATGGACTTAATTTAATTTATTTTTGTGAATTTCTTAAATCCAGGTTTCCAACAGTCTTGGCCAATGCAACACGGAGATTTCTACTTCCTATTCAGATCAGCCTTTCGCTACTATATTGATTCAATGCAGATGATCTAAGTAGCCTGTTAAGGTTTATCCATCATCTGTTTGACAGGAATTACTGACATGGATTTGTGAACTGATACCCAGGTTTATTGCTATTAATGCTAACAGGCAATACTTAAGATTTCCAAAAGTCAGGACTGAGGAGTCACAGCAGTGGACAACGGCTTTGAAAGCTTAAAACTCAAGCAATCCAAAAACATGACCCATTCCCATTAGAGGATGATATTTCATACTCTGAGTGCAGACTAGCTCATTGTGACTGCCTATCCGCCCTAAAGGCTAAAAATACATTTCAAGAGTTCGGCTTTCAGTCAAGGTGACAATGAGCCACATGACCTCTGCCAATATCATACAGCAATGAATACCTTGTATGTACCTCAAAATCTGCCCATCATTTACAAGGCAAGCCAGGGGTGTCTGGAACTGGAATATTTCCCATCAACACCACTCAAGAAGTTTGACATAATTCAGGACAGAGCAAGCCATTTCCTTCACCACCACCAGTCTACCATGGCAGCATTTTGGTGCACTGCAGTAACTTTTCAAAAGTCCTCCAAGCGAAATTCTAAGCCTGTGACCCCTATCACCTATAAGAACATGGGAAGGTACATAAAACCCTTTCATTGCAAGATCCCGTCCAAACAACACATCATCATGACTTGGAACTATATCAACGTGCTGCTGGGTCAAAATCTTAACATTCTGCGCCCCCTGCAGAACTGCAGATGGGCCTCATGAACTGCAGGAGTTCAAGGCGGCAGCTCACCATTCCCTTCCCAAAGGCAATATGAGATGGGCAAAAATGCTGACCTCGGACAAATCACGTGTCACTAACAAAGACAGTCGAAAAGAGCATCTAATCAAAACCTAAGGCATAGAAAGCGGTGAAAACAAGTGGTAGGTCAGTGAATTTTTGAGAACCAGGCCTGGATGGCTAAAATGCTATTAAAGGAGAACATTGATTATAAAGTAAATTGTCAAGAAATGTGAAAAAAAGCAAAGGCTTCTACGGGTATATAAAAAGTAGCAGTTATAGTGATTGAGAGATTCTTGGGGGATGCGACTGGGGAGTTGATAATGGTGAACTGGGAAATGAAAGATAACTTAACCAAAACTTTGCATTAATAACTTCACATGGAAGTCACTGTAAACCTTGAATCAGGAGACACAAAGATTAAGGGGACGCTATTTCAAATTGAGACACGAAGGAACTTTTGCTCTCAGAGCATCGTGCATGTTTGGAATTCTTTATCCCAGAGAATTATGGAGGCTAGATCACAAAGTATGTAAGAGAGTAGGGTAGGCAGGTTTTTATAATATCAAGGAGTTGTGGGCTATGAGCAGCTGGCATAAACAAGGAGTTGAAGCCTGAGGCAGGTCAGTCATGATTTTACAGAATGGCACAGCAGGCTTGAGGGAACAAATATCTTACTCCTGGTCCTATTTCGTATGTAGCCAGTAAAGCTCACACTTCTGGAATGAAGAGCAAAAAGAAAGTATTCCAGTTGACTCCAGTCAAACCACAACGTGAATTAGGCAGACTTGTCCACTGCTGCAGAAATGTCGGATCAAAGGTGCTGTGCTTTCAGATAAGACATGGGAATGAGGTGTTATATACTCAGGTAACAATAATGATCCAATGGCACCATACAAAGCACGGGCGGTCTCAGGAGGCTGAACATGGGAAAACAGAGAAATGCATGAAGTATGGTCATTTAAAAAATAACATACATTGCAGACAGAAAGTAAAGTACTCCAAAATATTGCTAGAGCATAAACCACAGAGCTAAACAGTCTTTTGCCTCTGTTCACGTCACTGGCAAGGTCAGTATTCACTACTCACCCCAAATGCTTTCCAGAAGGTGGTGGGAAGCCATTATGGATTACTATTTCTAAAATGAATCAGGATGTCATTCTTACTAATGCTTCTGAGGCTTGATATGAAGATAGAGCCCGGAGCTCCAAGTACACAACACACAATTTTCTTTCAGAGCCAGAACCCTGAAAGACTGGTCATGTTTGCCAAGATGACAGAGATACAGTTCTTACACTCCACCATGCCCCACCCAATAACCACAGATCGTTCATTGCTGCCTTATGGTTAGGAAAAGATTTTCCATTCATATAATACAGCACCTCTCATGACTTCAGAATATCCTAAAGTTCTGTTTAGCCAATGAAGTACGGCTGAAGCATCAAACTGACTGTAAAGTAAGAAATGCAGCAGTCGCTTTGCATGGAGCTGAGCTCCCACAATCAGCAAGGAGATTAAAAGCTGGTATCACTGTTTAAATGGGGTTGGTTAAGCACCAAAACTGGCCCAGAATTGGCATCATTTCCATCCTTTTCTTTGAACTGCGCTACAGCGTCTTTCAAGTCTACCCAATATGGCAAACAGAACTTTGTGTTCACATCAATCAAAAAAAAAGTAAATTCCAACAGCGTGACTCTTCTCCAGAGCTACGGTTGACTGTCGGCCTGTTTATTCATTGATGTCTCTGGAATGGGACTTGAACTCCCACAGCCTCTGACTCAGAAACTAACTGCACCAAAGTTATGTTTTATTTGTGCAAGAATTATTGAAAAACTTGCTAGGGTGGACAGTACAATCTTGATAGCCAAACAAATTCCTGCAGAAACTCAAAAAAACCTTTTACAGAGAAGGGACAAATTCATCCAACACCAAGTGGTACACACCAAGTTAGACAGTGGGAAAAAGTGCTGAGAAACAGGCTTGATCTCTCCTCTGTGCTGATCAGAAACAGAATTGCAGTTAGGAATCTTGCAACTGAGTTGGGGACAAAAGGGGTTTAACCAGGATCCAGTGACCATTAGGTAGGAGCAAATTACTGCAGATACTCTGATGAAGAGTCACCTAGACTTGAAACATTAGCTTGCTCTCTGTCCATGGATGCTGTCTGACCTGCTGTGATCTCCAGCATTTGTTACTTCCAGTGACGACTATCTGGAAAGTGCATGGGTGTTACTGGTTAGACCAGCATTTATTGTCAATCCCCAATTGCCCTGGAGAAGGCGATGAGGAGCTGCTTTCTGGAACTGCTGTGGTTCTTGCAGTGTTGGGACACCCACAGTGTTAGTAGGGAGAGAATTGCAGGGTTTAGACAGTACAAGTGGAGGAGCAAAGATATACTTGCTAGTCAGGATGGTGAGTAGCTTGGAGGGGAATTTACAGGTGGTGGTGCACCCATTGCATCCTTCTAGATGGTAGAGGTTGTGGATCTGGAAAATGCAGTCTAAGGAGACTTAACATGTTACTGAAATGCATCTTTTAGATGGGACACACTACAGCTGTTAAGCATTAGTGAAGGGGGTGAACATTTAGCAGAGTGGAAGCATTCTGGTTGTGAAACAGGTTGAGTATGCAAATTACCAAAACTTTAGGATCACAGAAATGAAGTTATCATTCAGACAGTGTAAGGTTCCATATTCCTACAGAACTTTGCCTCAGGATAACGGCTAAATTGGAGAAGGAAAAATAAACTTATTTTCCCTGCAACGTTTTTTGAAGATTCAAGTCATCAAACGTTAAGAAGTTACAGAAATGGCAGCAATTCATTCCCACTGTGAACCATATAGAATTGTCCAATTTACTGGGATTATATAGTAACCTACAGGAAGATAATCTCTGGATTTTAAAGATAGTTAATTACAAATTAAACGGGCAATGGCAGGGGACGGACAGAGTGCGGATGGTGCCACCGAGGTGGACCCTCAGTGTGTCTCGGAACTTGCATATCCCGAACCTGGCTTCCCCAGCGCTGCGACTCGGGGCCTGTCTCTCCCCTGGCACACCTCCGGGCCCCCTCTCTCTCAATCTCCACCCCCGGAGCCTGACTCTCTCTCCCCCCAGGTCCCTAACCCTCTCTCCCCACGCCAGATTATCCTCAGGCCGCCTCCCGCTCTGACCTGCTGAACTCCTCGTTCACTCCATCCACAGCCGCGGCTCAGGCCGCTCGCCGGTGTAACCTACCCCGCTAGCGGAAGTGGCCGAACTCTCGTTTCCCCCGGCAGTGGGTGCAAGCGGACGGGCCCTCCCAAAACGCCGCCATTCTATTGGGCAGGTCCCCTGTCAGTCAGCGCGGGCCGTTTCCGGAATCAAGTTTGGTCGAGCGCGCAAAGAGGACGTGTCATTCCCGCGAGGCCGCGCGCATGCCCACGTCGAGGAGCCCCAGCGGGACAAGAGCGACCCCTGGAACTGCTGCCTGATGGGATACCGGAGGGTTGAAGGTGGGCAGTTGTCAATCAAACAGTCTGAGCTGCAGTGCTTGAGGGTGTAACGGGAAAAGCCTGGGAAATCCACAGTGAAGAGCTAACATTCACTGTTTAAATGTCTTTGGAGAAGACTAACAAGACTAACATGCTGACTAGCAGCATCCCAGGATACAAAGGTCAGAATGACCTTGGTGTGTAATGTCCATACATCTTTAAAGACAGTGGGACAGATAGATAAGGTGGTTAAGAAGGCATAGGGGACCTTTATTAGTGACTGCAAAAGCAGGGAGGATATAGTGCACCACTGTATAAAGTTAGGCAGGACACAGTTGGAGTACTTTGAGCAGTTCTGGTCACCACACTTTAGGAGGAATATGATTGCACTGGAGAGGGTGCAGAGGAGATTCACCATGATGTTGCCTGGACTGAAGAGATTCAGCGATGAAGAAAGACTAGATAGGCTGCGGTTGTTTACCTTCAACCAGAGAAGACTGTTTGAACTATACAGAGTTACGAGAAGTGTAGATAGATAGAAACATTTCACTGTAGTAGAGGGGTCAATAACCAGTGGACCATTTTAAGGTAAGGAGCAGAGGTTTCAAGGAGATTAGAGAATTTTTTTTCACCCAGCGGGCGATGGGTATCTTTGAATATACTGCCTAAAAGGGCAGTAGAAGCAGGAAGCCTCAAGACATTTAAGAAGCATTTAGATGTTGCCGGGTGTGGAAGGTTTGAGTTATAAAGAAAGGTTGAATAGGCTGGGACATTTTTTGCTGGAGCATAGGCGGTTCAGAGGTGACCTGATAGAAGTTTATAAAATAATGAGAGGTATAGATAGAGTTAATGGCAGTTGTCTTTTCCCTAGGGTGGGGGATTTCAAGACTGAGGGGCACATATTTAAAGTGAAAGGAGAGAGATTTAAAAAAGACATGAGAGGCAAGTTTTTTTACACTGTTGTTTGTGAGTGGAATGAACTTCCTGAGGGAGTGGTGGATGTGGGTACAACTACAACATTTAAAAAACATTTGGATAGGTATATGAATAGTAAAGGTTTGGAGGGATATGGGCCAGGACCAGGCATGTGAGACTAGTTTAGTTTGGGATTATGTTCAGCATAGACTGGTTGGACCAAAAGGTCCATTTCCATGCTATATGACTCTATGAGCATTTGAAATACCCGAGCGTACAAGGCCAAGACTGGAAGATGGATTTTTGGTGACTGGCATGGATGTGTTGGGCCTATTTTCCATGCTGTAAAATCTCTATGGTTCTTGGATACTGTCCCTAATACTTCCAGACCCCAGCATTCTCTAGATCCTGTCTCCAGTGCTCCAAACCCAGCATTGGTTGAGCTGTAGGATGTGGATTGTATTTTCTCCAATACCAAGACTGACCCAATGTTCTTATCTTACAACAAATGTACACATTGTCTCTGTAGCGTTTTTGGGATTTTTTGAACTTGTGAAAAGCACTTCTGAAATGCAGGTCAGTCTTTCATATTCACCCTCTTTGTCATCAAAACGTTCCCAGATTCCAGTCCCAATGGTCCCAAGGCGATTTATAGAAACCTACATTTCTTATTTGTTTTTCACACTCTTGCAAGCTTACCTCAGAGTATTGCTAGTTCCTGAAACCTTAAATCAATTTTGTCAGACTGAGCTTGCAGACTGCATAATCAACTGCTCCAACTGTACACACCCAAATATTCTCACTTTTTCTTCCCCCCCCGCCATTCACACACATAAAGATCAAGGACAACTACAGACTGGAAGAACCTCCCATCAATCATAATCTGTAAGGATTCATTTGAGGGACATCTGTTGATTTCTTTAAAAATTAATGTAGCATCAACTGCACTCATTGTGCCATTCCTGAGAAAATTCTCTCATTGAAGACTATAAGGGAAACCTTCCCTAGACCTACTCTCCATCCTTTCCACAGCTGCCCAGTAGACTTGAGATTCTCAGTAACAATACTTGACTCAACAGCACATTACATACGTACACACAAACGTAGAGCAGGGATAGGTACTTTGGTCTCCTGAACCTGCTCTGCTATTCAATACGATTATAAAACCTCAAATCCACATTTCCCCCTCCCTCAGAATGACAGAGTGTTTGCTGCAGAAGGAGGGCATTCGGCCTGCCATGTCTATTTACTCTTCAAATGAGCATGAGTTAGTGCCACTCTCCTGCTTCCCCACTTTCCCATAACCTTATTTCTTATAACATTATTTCTATCCAAATAATCATCCAGGGCCCTCTTAAATGCCTCATTTGAACTTGCCTCGACTACATTTCCAGGCAGTGCTTTCCATACCTTAACTGCTCACTGTGTGAACTTGCCTCGACTACATTTCCAGGCAGTGCTTTCCATACCTTAACTGCTCACTGTGTGAAAACGTTACCTTCTTGCATCAGATTTGCTCTTTTTGAAAACTGCTTTAAATCTGTGGTCACTGATTCTTGATTCTTTTATAAACAGTAACAGTTCCTCCCTATCTATCCTATGAAGCCTGCTCATAATTTTGAAAACTTCTAACAGATCTCCTTTCAGTCTTCTTGTCTCAAATGAGAACAGTCCTAACTTCTTCAATCTGTCCTCGTAACTGAAGTTTCTTATGCCAGGAACCATTCTTGAAAGTTGTTTCAGCATTCATATCCTTCCTGCAACGAGGTGCCCAGAACTGTATTCAGTGCTCCAGCTGAGATCTAATAATTGTTTCACAAATTCAACATCACCTCCATTCTCTTGTACTCTGTGCCCCTTTTAATAAAGGTGAGGTTTATGCTTTACTTCCTGCTCTTTCCACCTGTTTTACCACCTTCAGTGGTCTGTGCACATGTACACACAAGTCCCTCTGCTCCTGCCCCCTGCTTTAGAATTGTGGTCCCATTTTGTAATGTCTTTCAATATTCTTCCTACAAAATGCATCACCTCTCACTTATCTGCCCACTCCACCAACTTGTTTATGTCACAGAATCCCTACAGTGTGGGAGCAGGCCATTCAGCCCATCAAGTCACACCAACTCTTCAAAGAACATCCCACGCAGACTCACACCCCTCTCCCCAATCCCTGCAACCCTATATTTCCCACGGCTAACCCACCCAACCTGCACATCCCTGGACACTATGAGTAATTTACCATGGCCAATCCATCTAATCTGTACACTTTGGACTGTGGGAGGAAACCAGAGCACCCAGAGGAAAGCCACACAGACAAGGGGAGAATGTGTAAACTCCACACAGACAGTTGCTTGAGGCTAGAATTGAACCTGGGTCCCTGGCACTGTGAGGCGGGAGTGCTAATCACTGAGCCAATGCACTGACCATCTTTGCCTAAACTTTATGTTTGATATTTTTAACTTTTTTAAGTTTACCATGGATAGTGGGTCTTCCCTTTGGAATTTTTGTCTTGGATTGTGACTATGGTGTATTCTGAAACATCCCCTTAAACATTTGACACTATTTCGATTGACCTACTCCTTAATCTAATTTGCCATTTACTTTTAGCTAGCTCTGCTTTCACACTCTCATAATTGTTCTAATCTAAATTTAACTGTAAAGTTCAAAATGTAAAGTTCAATCTAAACACTGCTACCAAGGGGCACCTTCACTGTGAAGTAATTAATTAATACTATCTTGTAGCACAATACTAGGTTTGGTATAGGCTACTTAGCTCCAGAACATGCTGTTCTAAGAAACAATTTCAAAAACAGTCTATGAATCTATCTAGGTTACTTTTGCCTGATTTTTCTAGTGGATTAACATCTCCTATGATTATCATCACAGCTTTCTGACAAGCTCCCATTGCTTTTCCCTTTATACTGTATTCTATCATACAATGACTATCGTGGGTCCTCTATACCATACCCACAAGGAACTTGATTTTATCATTTCTCATGTCTACCCAACTCACACCTACATTCTGGTTTCCTGAACTTCATTCATCCCTCTCCAATGTACTAAGAGTTAATGTAAGAGTAATCCTTCCACCTTTTCATAACATCTTGTCCTTCCTAATTGTCATGCACCCTTCATTATCCAGATTTCAATCTACATAATCCAAGTTATGTTTCTGTAATGGTAACACTTATTTCCATTGGTACTATCTATTCATCTGTTGTATTTAAAAAGTTATGCTCAGTTACAAACTTTCAGTTTTGTCCTTTTTGTAAGCTCTAGCCTTATTTGTTAACTTACTCTTAGATTTGTAATCTCTATACCTTGCTGTTATAATCTGAACATCATTTCCCATTTTAACATCATTCTCTTGTGGTGTGCTGGTGTGATTTAGAATGTTTAAATTGTAGTGATGTCCAGAAATAGTTATAGTTTAAAATTGTCTTTATCTTGTAAATTGCAAATGATTAAATCAGTATTATTACTCATTTTAATAATGGCTAGTGGTCAGTGTATGAAACTTTCTCAATTTATTCATCTGTACAATGAAAAATAAACTGCAGTACAATTGCAGTTGTTGATTTTCCAAAATTAGGCTGTGTCTGGAAAGTGTCATGTACAGTGCAATACTGTGGTGAATTATTGGTTGCCATAGGTGTGTCACAATTATTCTTGGATAATGAACTGATTGCTCGTTTCCCTGTTGTGGCTGGCTACAGTTAATACTGTAGTGGCAGTATTGCAGTTCAGCTTCCATACTGAGCTTCTTAAGTGCCTCATTCAGAAAACGTCACGCCAACTTGTACAAGTGCTTTTATTTTCACATTAAATGGCGTGTACACTGACAAATATCAAATACATTTTGAGCTTCATTTTTATATCATCCTCAGTCTACAACAGGGGCCGAGGATAAAGTCCTTGTTACAAAAGCATACAATTTGTCAAACACGACTTTTAAAATTACTTTGTATAAGTTCACAAAACATAGCACATTGAGTAAGACCTTGTTCTTCTTGAAAAGAGAAAGTTGAACAGCTCAAGCTTGCTGTAGTTTGAAAACAACTTGCTTTATATGAAATCTGAAAATGCATATTAAAGTATAGTTGAATACAGTAATTGTCCTTCATATAAAAGGGGCATAAGCAGCTTGATCAGAAATTTATGGATATTGTCCATCAGCACCCTCTACCTAGAAGTAATATTTTACATCCCTTTTTTGGTTTGTTATAGGAAGTTGTACCATTTAAAATATTTGTTGAAGAGGGTGGTCCCCTGTATAATCAGTGAGTTAATACTGCATGTGGTGCAATAGATTCAAACCGACCAAGGAGTCCCAGGTCACAGCCCAGGCTATGTTGAGTTTGCTGATCTTAGGCCGAGTAAAAGTTGGAGCACAATAATTAATGTTCCGTGACTCCTAATATAATGAATATTAGCATTCTTGTTGGCATTTTGGAGGTATGCCCTGTAGCTAAACCTCATGCTTATATGCTCACACCAAAGCCTGACTTGACCTAACCTTGGTGGGTGGGAAGGACTAAATGAAGAAAAAGCCTTTAGTAATGTCCGTCTTTTAGCAATTCAGTCACTCAGATTTCAGTAGTGAGGCAACATTTTCAGTTATCAATCTATCTTTGCTGCAAACCAGTAGAAATATAATGGTGCATCACAGAGCAGAGTATTCCAATGCCTTGGGAGCTTTCTGAATGGTATCTGCAATAGGGAAAGCAAGCCTAGTCATCTAAACAGAGCTTTGCACACGGGAGCCCTGTAAAATGAGTAGTAGTTAGACTGCTAGCATCAGGAAAATGGAAACACAACTCCGGATTTGACTGAATGTTAACTGGCCAGTGAGTCTGAAGTGGAAGAGGGAAATCTGTCTGCAGCGTTTCTGCATCTCCAGGTGAATCGATTGAAAAGCTACATTAAATACAGTCATGTCTACAGGCTGCAAACTCCTAACCAGAGGGAATAAAGCTACTGAAATCATAGCTCAGGCAGCATTACGGACTGAACTACACCTCACAGTCGGGGAGCACCACAAATTAAATGGTTAAATCATATTTTAAGAAGCTGAGAAAAGAAGCAGAGGTATAGTAATAAACCCATTGACTGCTGTAGCTCCAAAGACACATTACTGGCAGCTTAATGATTCATGTAAACTACAATGTTGAGAGAATTTTACCAAGTCCACAACAAGTTACACAAAATGCAATTGAAATATGAGTACAAACATGAGATATGACCACGTTATGGTTGGTTTTCTGTGAGGCAGACACAAAACAGCCTGGAACAACTCAAAGTTAAAGAAGCATTCGACACTCTTGTTCTTTGCAGCACTATGTACCACTGTATGTTATAAACATAGATCCTGGTGAGATCCCCCTACAGTATGTGGAGGTGACTACTACCATGACTCCTGTTGTATCCTTTAATATGAAAGAAAAGTCATCCATCCACTGGGGCAAATACTTTCAACTGGGGCTGGGACAATGAGGTCTGATAGCATTTAAGAGTGTCTCAGCCTGCAATCCGGTAAAATTATGTCAACATTTTCAACTCTTTAAAAAAATGTTCGGTTATGATCAAGTATGGAGCCGGATGGAAAAGGTGGGGAATCCAGGTAGAGCACTGGTAAGTTTTTAAGTCACTGTGCATGATATTAAATTCAGTGTTAGTGAACCATAACCACAGGATAAATAGAGTATCCAGATCTTCTTTTCAAATGGATTTTAGTGTTTAATTTAACCATTAACTACATTGTTTAAATAAAAAGTTCCAGAAGGACTGAAGAGTCAAAGTAAAATTAATTTCAAGCAGACATTAAGATCATATCCTGGATCAGACAGTTCCTAAATGAATGTCTCCGCTGAATTCACTGCTGAATATATATTATCTACAATTTAGATATATATATATATTATATATATAATTTTTGGAGTAAGTAAACACAGATCAGATAAAGAACTGTATTGGCCTTTTCTCTTGATTTTACGGCAACAAACTTCGAAATGTTCGATTTAGAGTTTTATTGCTTTAAATCTGAAGGCAGGGATCTTGCCCAGTAAGTAGAGCTGGTACGAATTAATTATCTACTCAAAACGCCAAACATTTCATTTTCAAACTTTTCTATACAAGTTGCTGAAATCTAGTTTAAAGACAAAGACTAGAAATGGCAGATTACAAAGTGCATTCAATTTGTATGGGATGGGTTATGTGTAGTGTTTGAAGTGACACATTGACTAACAAAGGCAAGGGAGATCAAAAGGGTCAATCCCTGTTTAGTGCTGAATGATCAAGTGGCAGTGGGAGTTCTGAAAGTGTCTCAGCCCTGGGTTATGAAAGAGGGAGGGCCAATGCAGCAGATAATGAGAAAAATCAGCAGGGGCTAACACTCCTGATTGCTGTCTAGTGGTTCCTGTCCATAGCAGCCTGCCAACAGGATCAGATTAATACTTTCATCCAGACAAGTGCTCTGGAAAATTTTATGGGAGTTCTAACCAATGTGAAAAAAGGACCGAATTGAATTTCCACCCTTTGGTCTCATTGGAAGTGCTAGGTGAAGTGCCAAGTGCTCATCTTTTGCTTTTCTTATTACATTGGTCCAGCTTCGATTTAAAAACATAATTTTCCTGAATTTGTTTTTAGTTTAATCTGGCACGTTGCACTCATCACCGATGGTTCAAACAGTATCAAATTTGTGTTAATTTGACGGTAACTATGCCCAAAAACCTGCTTTGTTTTGTTCTCCCTATTGTAAATTAAAAGACCTCAGTTGCATCAACACTCCTTAATTTACGAAACTTTTAAATGCAAACAAAGCTATCTTCAGCCTGCATTATAACTGTGGATACATTTCAAAGGGAATTATTGACTAAAGACAGGATTTCAGGTGACATCACTTCAATTGATATGCAGATAATTTGATGCAAGTAACAGCTTCACAGCATTAAAGTAACTCATATTTCAGCACTTGGTTTAATGTCAATAACCACTTTGTATAATACAACATACATTGTTGAGCAGCAGTCTGTTGCCAGGATACTGTTACTAATCAGAAATATAACCTCATCAGGTCAGATTTCTTTGTTGTAGAAATTAATATCAATTAACAAATGGATATCCGAGAGTAAGTTATAGACTGCAATCTAAGGGAGGAGTTCAGGCGGCTCACATTTACAGTAATGAATATTTAGGATTATACCACAAATTGGCATTTAAAAAAAGGGGTTCCTAGACAATTGCCATTGAAAAACAATCAGTATGGCAAACTGAGGAAAATGAGAGACAAAGGCTAGAGAAAAGGGTTGTATGGGGTCTGATATGTGCGTGTGTGCACGTGCGCATCTGTGTGCACAGTGGGGAAAAGAGAGAGTGACTGAGAAACACAATTGAGAGCATCCTTGATTTTAGGCATGGCCTGGAGAAAGTGTTGTCCTATATTTCAGCCTGCATTTTAGAGGCTGTCAAGAGATAAATACTACACAATGTACTTAAAAAGAGAATGATATACCCTATTCACAGACAAGGTGCAGCAATTCTAAAAGTGGAAATCATAACCAGTGAAGAACATTAACAATTAATCCAACCCAATATTTTGTGGGCTGTGATCTCTCAAAACTAACAGTCATACGTGAGCTGACAGATTCTGAAAGTACTTTCTCGATATTTTACAAATCCAATGAAGAACGATATTCCTGGATGGTCAGCATCCTATTGGTATTTGAGTAGGATATATGTAATTTTTGTGTTCTTACATACATAGGAACATTGGAGCAGGAGTAGGCCATCCAGCCCTGAGCCTTTTGCAGAGGAGCTGGTTCTATGCATTCACGGTCAAGAAATCACTTCCAAAGCTGACTAATCAGAGTGGTGCAGCAATAGGTCCAAATCAACATCAAACAAAATAACCATTAGTAAATGATGCACAACCGTGCACGTTATCTTGGTGCTGGATACTCTGTTTTCTCTTTCTGAGATTTGGAGGTTTTTAAAATGTTGCTTCATGTAAGTAATACCTGATAAAGTTAAAGACACATTGGTTCCATAGTTCATTTAACTGATGTTCTACTGTATATTAATTATGAACCATCTGGTATCCCAAGATGGATAAAAAACAGTCTCTCCCACACATAAACACATTGGCTTCTGTTTCTAGGTGCATATACTCAAGACGGAATTGTCTGTGTTATTGGTGAGTTCCACTTCAGGGCAGGGGGATGGAACTCTCCTCTTCATTATCATCATTCCCTACACCTTGTTAGTCAACAGGGACCTAGTGGCTAAAGGAGGGTACGCTTGTCAAGATAACAGGAGTGTGCCAAATCTAGGGAATAGCTTTGATTCTGGTAGATCATTAGATCTGCTTTTTTTTTCCACAGATAGATAAAGTACTTGGTAAGTTAAAAAGTTTTCTCAAGTACATTAATCACATTCCAAGACTGCAGAATTTTAAACACTTTTATTAAACCAAATGAAATGAGGTGAACTCCTTCAGTACACCCTCCTGCCCATGGTGGTTTGCCTCAAAGTTGTTTTGACTAGTCTTGGTTACCAAGAAACATGGCAAACACTACAGCTCTACAGGCAGCTCCCCAGAGAGAAGGTGCAAGGCTCAATAGAGGACAGAGTTAAGTGGAAGAAACAGGAGCAATTTGGGCTCCTCAGCCTGGTAAGGAACTGACTCAAACTGTGATCCTGAATATTTATAATTTGGAACACAATCTCAAATTAAAAACCGTGACAGTAGGACAAGACAGCATAGGTTCTGAGGCAAATATGGGACTCATGCCAGGAATTTCTGCTTCACAAGGTGAAGTCACAGAATCAGATTATGGGTAGTACAGTGAGGATGAAAACCCCGGAATGGTCTTAAAGTGAGATAGGGCTGGCTCCTTCTGAATGGGACAAATGGCCTTTATAACACCTCGTGACCCCAGTACACAGTATGAGTGGTTAGGTGTTACCTGTGGATCTGTGCCTCGTGACTTTTTGGGTGATGTAGCGGGGTCAGAAAACTGGTGAAAAAGTAATGGAATTAGTAAATATGAATTCAGAGGTGTGGGATGGGTGGTGTGTCTGTGGTGTGGACTCGGGTCAAAGTTCCCTAAAGTCCAATTGACTGTGAATTTTAAGCAGTTGTTAGTAGGTATGGAATAGTGCAACACTGCACCCTCGCCCACAAGTATCAAATCTCAGATCTGAACAGTAAAACATGAACAGTCTGTTCCACTGTACATCATGGCAGAGTTTCTAACTGTTTTTGACTGCTGGTCAACATGACTGACGCTAATCCAGAAACTTCCAAGATTGAGCAGTATGTTTTTAGTTATGCTTTTTCTCACCATAAACATGCATTCTGTTCATTCTTCCACTTTTGGAGACCATGTGTAATCCCCCACCAATGGTATTCTGCACAGAAGCAAGCAGTAAGTTCTTTTTCCTCTCCTGTCAGACTCCTTCTCTCAGCCAAACAGGCAACACCACACTCGGAAGTGTTGGAACTCATCACACGTTGAGTGGACTTGAAAGTTAATACATTCTGTATGGCTACGTCCCCATTACAGAAGAACGTAGACATATATCAGAGTTTTATTTAACCTTCAATCTGGCCAAAGGCAAAATATGGTCAAGAATGGAAGTAAAGTCAGGCAAGATTACCTTGAAGGGGTTTGGCCAGCTCAAAATGTCAAGAAGTAAAGTACTGAAATAAAGCACAAAATTAGGACAGGGCCAAAGTATGATCTTATCAAATGGATGATTGGTCAGAGGATGACTGGGGTTGACCTTTCATTTTTCAGTCACTGTGCTGACCTACAATTTGTTTCACCTGTATTCACAACACTCAATTACTTCTCTTCACTGAGTGTAAGCCAGTCATTTAGCCACATATCTAAAATTTAAGTGGTATGAACACTGTCAATCCAGGCTCAAAGTGATTCCTAACGTACAAAAACAAAAGCACATTGGGCTTGAGACAGTCTAAATCAGAGCACAACTTTATATAAGAATAAATTCATCTGTCAGTCTTTAAGGAACAAAGTTTTGTAAACTCCATTGCAGTACTCCATCCCTCCTCTTCGAAAAGAATCACAGGATTTAAAAAAAATCAGGTTTCTTCATTAACTCAAAGGGATCACAAATACACTTAACCATAATTATTACTCTTTTAATATTGAACCAGAACACAAGTTACCGTTTTCATTATGAAATCCCTGATGGTTATTTGGAGCGAGACTAATACTGACCCAAGCATGGTTACATTTTCACAACCTTGCACACCTCTCCTCTCACCCTGGCCCCCTCAAAGCAACAAAGAGAAACACATTATGTTCTGTAAGTCACACACTTGGCACAAATGTATACAAATATAACATTCAGGCACAAGTCAGCTAATATTTGCAACAAATTCTCTCTCACTCACATGCATTCTATAAAATGCTTTATACATAAAAATGTACCACTTGAAAATCAGATGAAAGTTCAAGTCTTCTACTTCCCAGTTTGCTAACACATGGGTGAATTCCACACAGATTCAGAGAGGTGAGGTGTAGGACAGGTGAAAGGCAGGTCTGGAATCCATGTTCAGAGACACAAGTGAAATGTGGCTGCTCATTAACAAAGTCTCCAGCAGAACTGTCTTGCCTTCTTGGGCTGTGAATCATTTGAGGGAACTCTGTGCAAAGGGAGGGGGCAAGAAGCGTTATACCCTCAACTGGAGTTTACTGCTGCGTCGTAGATCTCTGTTTGGCAGGGGACGAATGAGGAGATGGCAGATGCTCAGATGACCCTATTGTTGTCATGGCAGATTGGATATGAACCGTCTTGTGAAAGAGTTTATTGCTGAGCATGATCACAAAGGAGAAGAGATGCAGCTGGAAATGACTGGAAGAGAAAGTGAAATAACAATCAGAATTGTGTCTGTTTTAACTTCAAGTAGCATCACTGCAGTTCCTACTTTGATGCAAACATTTCTCAAGTCCTGTTCCCTTTGCCTCGAAATTTCAACTTGTGAAAAGTTCTGATTTTACTGGTTTTAATTCCTGCTTTTAAGCAAGTGTGAGGTGCAAAATTCCTGATTAACAAGGCTCATCTTCTCTTTAAAGATGCTTTATCTTCTTCATTTTTCTGTATTAATAATATTTGGGACATGAGCATTCTTGCATTTGAAGATTTTGCACTGCATTCAACCTGGTGTAGTTGCATGAAATTTAGGCAAATAAATGTGGCTATGCAAACGGAAAAACTTGATTTTTGTTGCTACTTGCTGCCCTATGTAGACCTGATGTTGTAGGGATTGCAGATTTCCTTCCCTAAAGATTTTTAGTGAACCAGATGGGTCAACTTACGAGGAGAGACTGAGTAGACTCGGATTATATTAATTGGAATTTAGAAAAATGACGGGGGGGGGGGGGGGGGG